GGAGGTATGGACCTATCCTCCACCCAGGCCCTTCCATCATGCCTTCCTGCCTTGGAGCTGGCCAATTATGGACTAAAATGTGAGCCTAAATGAACCTTTCTCCTTCAGGTTGTGGCTGGTAAGATAGTGTATCCCTGTGATAAGAAAGTACCTAAGACACAGGTAAAAATGACATGATGAATCTTCAAGATATATTATTGGTTAGATGGGTCCGGAGCATATTCCCAACACTATTAACTTTCAAAATGTCTGGCTCAAGCCTAGACTATTACTTTTTTTTGACCTCGGTTTTTCATTGTATTGAATTCATAAAACTGTGGTTTTAAAGCACACACACACATACACACAAAATAGTTACCATCTTTACCCCCATCCCATACTGGAGATTGAACCCATGGCCTTCCCACTGAACTGCATTCTCAGACCTTTGTTTTCAGTCATGAATTTGTGAGCCTTCCTTCTGTCTCTACCTCTCTATTCTTGCTTTTTTTGGTGGAACCGCATATTGAACTCAGGCCCTTATGCTTGCAAGGGAAACATTTATTCTACTGAGCCATGTCCTGGGCTCCCATTCTTACTATTTTAAAGCACACAGTTCAGTAGAAGTAAGTACAGTCATATAATTATGCAAATTAAGCCTTATAGATTGACGTTTAGCTTTGTTTTAGGCAAACAAGGATAAGTCTCTTTTATCTCTAACTTGCCATTTCCTTTGCTTCTCTTGGAAGAATATATCAAAAGATAAATGCTACAATTCATCTAAAGCTCTAAGACTCAATATCTTGTGTTCCCTTAGGTATTTTTTTCCTTGTTCATTTGCTGAAGTAATTAATAATTTTGGAGACCTTTAAACCATATATGACTCCTGCAGTGTAAACAAACTTTAAAAATTAGAGGTTTTAATCATTTTTCTTGGGTCTCTTTTATATTTAAGTAACAGTCTTTAGAAATGCTTATCATTATCATCACTATACTATTTGCTGTCTTTTGGGTGCTGGGGTCAAACTCAGAGTCTAATACATGCTAAAGTTGGGTATGTCCCCTTAGTTACACCCCCAACTCTATTTTTGTAGTTGTAAATTGCTTAGTATTGCTAGCTCCTTCTTGCCAACAGTTTTGCATGTGACTGGGTTATCCAATATCACTTACAGTCACTTTGGATATTGAGCATATCACAATTTCACTTTGCAGTTACTAGCACTATAGTGTTAACGTTCACAACATCAGCATCTATGTAAGGAAATGTAAAGCCAAGTGGCAATGACACAAAGTGCTGTTAAGTGAAAGAAGGAGTATTTCAGGAAGCCGAATTTATTAAGATACTTAGTTCACTAAGACATTTTCCAGTCACAATTATTTTTGATTCATTTACATAACAATGGCAGTGAGTCTAAGTAATAAACACTCATCAAATGAGGGTCTGAGTGCTCCCAGGACTTGGGAGGCTGAGGCAGGAGGACAGTTGAGTGTTCAAGGCCAGCCTGGGCTATGTAGTGAATTCAAGGTCGGTATGAATTACATAAAGTCTGTCTCAAGAAGAATCAATCAATCAAATATATTAACATGATATCAACTACTAGCCAAAACATTAAGCTGAGACAATGTCTCTGCAGCATGCAACTTTTTCCCTATTATAACAATACATATATTCCTTGCTGTGATCAGGCACTGTTCTAGGAGTTTTATTTAATTCTATCATTTTTTACAGTTACCCATTTTATTTTTCTTAAATTTTATTTATTTATTTGTGTGTGTGTGTGTGTGTGTGGCCAGCTCAGCCCACCAGGGGGCGGGGTTGGCTGCCATGTGGTGCTGGGGGATTGAACCGCGGTCCCTGTGCTTTGCTAAGCTTGTTCTAAGTAGGTGCTTTAGACCACTGAGCCATCTCACCAGCCCCACAGTTACCCATTTTAAATAGGTTACTGTTATTAGCTTCATTGTTATGGTCATGAATGAGAACAACAAAACACAAGTTAAACAGCAAAATCTCATTCTGTGGATGGATGAGTTGGATGTTTCTCTTAAACGTTTTTATCTGCTGGCAAGCAAATAAGTGATATTCTAGATAAAGCATGCTACTAATGTTTAGTATTTGTCAGAGTTTTGATCTATTTGCAGAACAGTCACCTGGTTTTCCTAATTTAAGCCCTTGGGTAGACAAGATAACGACTGCCCCTAAAGATGTTTGTGTCCTAATTCCTGAAACCCCAAAACATACTATTATCTAAAACAGCAAAAAGCTTTGCTGATATTGAAGATACAGGTCTGAAAATGACATTACTATCAATTATTTAACTATTAGCGGCTGCTTTTGATAGGGAAGGTTCAGAGAAATACCACAGGCGCTGAGAAAAAGGGCCAATAGATAGAAACTAGAAAGGGCAAGAAAACAATTCCTTGCACCCTCCAGGTAGGAATTCTGACCTCTGACATCGGATTGAGACCTAAATCAGGCTGCGAATCTACATTAATGTTCCTGTGACACATTTGTGCTATTTTAAATAAAATTTTTAACAAATTTTTAAAATTTTTTAAAATTAAAATTTTTTTAAAAAGAAAAAAGGGTTGTGGAAATTGTTTACAGCACAAACAGAAGACTACTTCGGGCACATTTTGGTTAACTCGGTCGGTGCGACGTGGTAGAATCAAGCAGCACGTGCTGGAGCCGGCGAGGTTCGGTCTGCGGCATCTCGAAGAGTCCCCAGGCGGTCCCATCTGCCTCCTTCGCGAATGGCTGACGTCTTGAACTTGCGCGGCGTGGTCTTTCCTCCTGTGCTACACACAAGCCACCGGACTGCGGCCAGAGGCGAGGAAACGCTCTAGAATTTGACGATGGCAAGAGCTGAGCATTTTCCTACCCTTTTAGCTGCTGCTGATTTACTAGGAAGTGCGTGACCTGTGAAAGCGCGCCCCGGGTGCTGCCCATCTCGTACTTGGGCTGCAGCAAAGACACGGAGGAGCCACGCGCAACCTGTAAGTACTAGAACCGTGGCCACGGAGACTGTCCCCGCCGGATCCCTCGGTCCTCATCCGACCTGCAACTATCACTTCTCCCCGCAACCAGTCGCAAACCTCACGAGACTTGCTGCTCTCGCGGGACTTCCACTACAAGCCTGCAGGTGGAGCCCGCGGAAAGATCGTTGAAGTCGCGTTAGCCTCTATTCTCATCTCGCGAGGTCTGGCACAAACCGATCCAGTTCTCGCGGGATTTTCGGGACTTCAGTTACAGTGGGAAGTGATGGGCGATGGACTGCCTTTGGACGTTGAGAGGAAAGTTTAGGGGTCGCGGTGTCAGCCTTCAGGCTTCTTCAGGCGGCGGCAGCTGCTAGGCCTGAAACAACAGAGTGGTATCCCCGGCCTGGACGCCTCCGTCCCCTTCCCCCCACCTGCTGGCGCTTCGGGCTCCGGTGCGATGCTGGCCGTGGCTTCTGACCCCGGGCTGGATGGAGCCCGCCGCCGCCCCGAGCCCCGGCGCGGACGCCGCCGGCCCAGGTATGAGCTCCGAGCTCGCCTCCTGCCCAGTCCCGCGGGTTCTGACCGCCCTCGAGTGAGGGCTCTTGAGTGACATCTGCGGGTCGCGTGCCCCTTCCTGGCAGGGTGTAACTGCTTCCGCACTGTTGCTCTGTGCCCTCCACAGAGCAGCTTTGGGCTCTTGCAGGATTCTCGGGACTGTCCAATGAGATGGGATGTATGCAAAGCATTTATGTGAGTGCACGAGTGATTTCCAGCGAGCGTTCAGTAAATGTTAGGTATTTTTATTTCTTTACCCTTACATGCCCTATTATTAGTAAGTAGAAGTTGGTTGTGAAGATGAACGAAAGTTGAGTTATTTAGTTTCATCGCAGAGTTTAACGCATGGTTATGGAGACCGGGATTTATATTCTCTGTTGGGACGCCAAAAGAGGGTTTAAGGTAGGTGTGGTTATATGTCACGTTATGTGAAATGCTTTCTTGCCCACAAAGTAATAACCTCCATCAGTAAGGGTTACATTTCAAGGCCACCAGGTATTGTTAGGTGCCCAGCAGTATACTGATTTATCTACCTGTTTTTCCTTTGAGGATGGTGTTTATCTCTTTAAATAGGTAGTAAAAGTAGAGGTAAATCTCAGAAAGGGAAGTAGCAAGTTTGAACTCCCAGAGCAAGGAACAAATGACTTAATTCAAAGACCACAAATATAACTACCCATAGCAGTCTGGCAGGTAGAAACAAGTGGATGAAGCTGCTGGCAGAGATTGTGGAATAGCATTTCCACAGTTAAATCTGATGAAATAGTCACTTTGGTATTTAGGGAAAGTGCTGGCCAAAGGGACAGAAAGCTCAAGGAACCTGAGGTAGTTGAATACTTGCCTTGTTTGAAGACTAAGGAGGTCAATTTGTAATGATAAAGTGAGAAAGGGCCAAGATCTGCAGAAATATTACTCCTACTATTCAACCCTATGGGAAATCTTCCCAATTTAAGCAGTTTGCCTGGTGTTTGGCTTCTGGCCCAAATTTTATTGGATTTATCCAAACTCCAGAACCAAAAAATACCCATCACCACCTGAAACACTCACCTTCCCTTTTAAATTGCTTCCCAATGTTTCTTTCTGGTAACACTGTATTCTGTTCTTCCAAATCACTTTTTACAATTACATACATGCTTATGTACTTTTTGGTACGTGTCTCTCACTAGGTATCACAAATCTGTTTTTTATTAAAAAAATTCACATATTGTCTGTTGGTACAAGGTGTAATATTTTGAACAATACAGACTTTCTTGGATAGGAAAATATTTGTTGTGGAAAGACAGGCAAAAGCAAATAGGCATGATAATTAAATAATAAGTTGTAATAAGTGACATAAAGGTAATAATATGGTAAGATAGAGACTATTAGCATATCCTTAAATAAGGTAGACCAGAAGTGGAAATGAGTAATTTAGGAGAATGCTAATCACCATTAGCTTTCCATGCTCTATATCTTACCTAAGACCAATTTAGCCTGGTGCCTCTTCTTGTAAAAGTTTTTTTGGAACACAGCTATGTTCATTTGTTTTGTCTGAGTCTGCTTTTGCTTTCAAAGGGCAAGAAAATATATACCTTGCAAAATCTAAGTAGTGAATAGCTAATATCTTGACTTTGCAGAAAAGTTTGCCAACCTTTCCTTTAGAGAAGTCGCATGCTTCAAGGAAGTAACACATTTTTGAAGTAGAACCAGAAAGATAATCTGATGATTGGATGTAGGAATATCAGTGGATGATTAATGACTGACTAGTTTTCTATATTAAAAGTTGACTATAAATGTCCCAGTTAATGAGATGCAGAAAAACTAGTCATCACCTACAACATCAGTTTTCTTCATTTTAGTCCCATTTAGTGATACAATATTTGGTGACTAATTGGTGCTTAAATTATATGTGTTGAGTAGTAAGTAAATTAGTGAATTAAGTATTTAAAATGAGAAGCATTTACTGGACAGGCAAACATATGTATTTGTTTGTGTCAAGAATTTTGTAGGGGGCCGGGGAGATGGCTCAGTGGAATAAGTGCTTCCCTGCCAAGCCCAAAGGCCTGAGTTCAATCCCTGGTTCCACCAAAAAAAAAAAAAGAAAAGAAAGAAAAGGAAAAGAATTTCTGTAGAGGCAACAACAAAATTTTAGTTCAAATAGGAGTTGAATATGTAAAACATTTGTTTATGTGTTATTTTGCCTATATAGTAGGCTACCTATACAGAGTGTTAATTTTGTATTAAAACTCTGTCCTTTGTATTGTATAATAGCTCTCAAACAATTTAGGTATCAAGATTAGAGTAGGAGAATAGATTTCTTTTTTTCCTGAGTAACTATGATTGTTACTATGAAGTAGCCTGTCCAAAGTACTTCTGAGGAACTACTGATGAAAAATATCATAATGAGCATTATTTTTGCTTATAACAATATAAGCATGTTTTATAATCATATACTATAATCATGAATTTTAGAGAAATCTAATTGAGGCCATCAGACAGACCCTAGGAGACTACTGTTGGTCATCTGGTCTCATTGAAAATACGTAAGAAAAACCATTCCTAATTATTTCTGCATTTGTAGCCCTGTAATTCTTAGATTTTTGCTAGAAGAAATTCCACTTGAATTATTTTTATTTATCTTCCTCTATTTGGTACATTTTAATTCTTAATAATGTTATGCTCTATAAAGATACCCTCTTCATTTTCATAGCAGTATGTCTTTGGAGTAGAAAGTAAGATAAATTACTGTACAGGTAAAAACATAATAAGTATGTAGAGTGATCAGACTCTTCATATTATTATAGGGTACTTAAAAGATATTAGAAACCATCTCTTAAAACATCAGCCATTCAAATCATAGGCGGGAAAAAGCTGCAGCATTATCCTGAAGTGAATTGGAAGTGTCCTTGGCTGGTTGTACACCAGGTGAAGCAATTGTTTAAAAGCAATATTGACAGTGAGAGGAAACACCTCTCTACAGGAAAAGGAGATGGAATAACTTTTGAATCACAGATGAATCACATAAACATTGCTGTCCAGAGGATTCTAGGTTGCTCATTAGCAAGTCTTACTCTTATCATATTATAAAGAATATATGTATAATATTTTGGGTTACTAAGAATATTTAAATCAGGAGTTCTCTGTGCATTACACTCATATGTGAATTCAACAATATTAGCAAAAAGCATAATAAAATCAAATATCCATATCCACTGAATCAGAATCACCAGAGGTAGTGTCCAACCAGTATATTTTACTGGGGTGTGTGTGTGTGTGTGTGTGTGTGTGTATAGTGCTAGGAATTAAACCCAGAGCTTTGTGCCTGCAAGGCAAGAACTCCACCACTGAATCACATCCACAGCCCCTAAACAGTATATTTTAAAACTCTGGGGGAGATAAAATACAGCTAGGATAAAAACCATAGGAAACAAATTATGTGCCCTTTGTTCTGCTTATTGTAGAACACCTAATAATGTAGGTCACCTGGTAATATATTTTAGAGAAATACACATATTATATATTTTACCTTGTTTCAGTTCTTTGGCAAAGGTATGTGGTACATTTTTTCTCTCAGCAGTAGGTTAAATGAGGTTCTTTATAAGCTACATTTTGACATTTTCTTTTCTTTTTTATTGTAGATGCATGGCATCCAGGAGAAAGATGTCTTGCCCCTTCGCCATATAACGAAAAACTTTGTGAGGCAAGCATAAAATCTATCACAGTGGATGAAAGTGGGAAGTCATTTGCAGTTGTCTTATATTCAGATTTTCAAGAAAGGAAAGTACCACTTAAAAGACTTCAAGAAATAAGATCTATTAAAGATTGCCCCAAGAATTTTATATTTGACAATGAAGATTTGGAAAAACCATATTTTCCAGACAGAAAATGTCCTTTATCTGCTAATGCTTTTAAATTATCTAAAGATGGAGATGCTATTCCTTATACTATTAATAGATATTTGCGAGAATACCAACGAGAAGGAGCGCAGTTTCTCTATAAGCACTATATTCAAGGAAGAGGTTGTATTCTTGGTGATGACATGGGTCTTGGAAAAACAATACAGGTATTTATTTTAATTACTTTACAATTAAAATTCATTAGAGACATAATATATAGAGTGGATGCCATATACAGATCTCTTGTGATAGGTATTTTATGTATGTATCCATATGTTTTTGTTTCACAATTAGGCATTAAAGTCTCAGAGTTGACTTGTTTCCATGTATTATTTTATCTTCAATACCTATTTACTACCTATAAAGTTTTATTCAGAAGTAATTTTTCATAGAACTTGGCTTTATTTTTACCTTTGGTCATTTGTACAAGATATCAATTGTTTTTGAAGTAAACTTTCTTAATAATATCCTATGTAGCACAATTAAATTAATTTCATGCCAGCTTTTTTTTTTTTTTTTTTTTTGCGGAACCGGGGATTGAATTCAGACCCTTGCGCTTGCTAGAGAAGTGCTTACTCCACTGAGCCATCTCCCCGGCCCCTTCATGCCAGCTTTTATGTACATTGTTTCATCATGTTAAAAGTTTCTTAACCTGCAATCCGTGAGTTACTAGTTCTATTGATAGACTTTAGAGAGGCTTGAGACTGGGCATGGTGGTACATGCCTATAATCCCAGCGCTTGGGAGGCTGAAAACAGGAGGATCACTACAGGTCCAGTCTGTGCAGTGACACTCTGTAGACCTTCTACTAAATACATTAAAAAAAAAAAAATCATAAAAGACCAAAAACAAACAAGGCAATTAGACTTTAGAGAGGCTTCTTAATTGCCTAAAATATGTACTAGACTTTGTAGACTTACGTACTTTTATGCAAATATTATTTGTATTAGTTGTTGCTATAAAACAAACTGCCTCCAAAATTAGCAGCTTAGGCCCAACAGGACATAGCTCAGCTGACTAAGCTCCCGCTTTGGCAAGCACAGGTACCAGGGTTCCATTCCTGGTCCCACGTGATGCACCAGCCCCACCCCCGGGCATGCCTAGCCTGCTACTGATTCTGGGCAAAGATTTTGGATTGGGGCCAGGGAGATAGCTCAGTAGAATAAGCGCTTATCTGGCAAGCACAGGGGCCTGAGTTCAATCCCTGGTTCCGCAAAAAAAAAAACAAAACAAAACAAAACCCTAGCAGCTTAAAGCAATTAAACATTTGTCACTTCATAGTTTCTCTGGATCAAAAATACAAGTTCAGCTCAGCTGTGTTCTTTACTCTGGCTTTCACAAAGCTGTAGTCGCCTGGTTGGACTGGAGAAGATGCCCCTTCTAGCTCACATTTGCACTGGTAAGATTTACTTCCCAGGAAGGTGCTTGAACTGATACTTCCCTTGCTTCCTTTCCACATGCACTTCATAGAGTATCACAGCCTTGGAGTATATATCAGCAGGGAGAGGAAATAGGGCCAGAGAGTGATAGTGAGGTGGAAGTCTTGGTCTTACGAGATAATCACAAAAAATATCTTCCATTTGCCATTTAAATTATTAAGTTTATTGGTACAATTTAGATATACCAAATGTACATATTCATCATGAGGAATTTGTACCTATATATGATGTGTCTTGATTCCTCTTTTTTCTTCCCTTCATCCAACCACTTTTCACCTTCTTATTTACAAAGTTTTGTTTCCATTTTATCCTTTACCTTTCTTTCCCCTTCCTTCTGGTTTCCCTCTCCCCTCCCTAGTTCCCCTTTCTTTTGAACCGTATCTTTCTATTTCACATTTCCTCTTAACACATTGGTCTTTATTTATACTTTGTTTCTTACACCACAAAAGCAATGCAATATTTATTTCACTTAAGGGGTGATCTCAGGGTCCATCCATGTACATAGAAATAACTTGAGTTTGTCCTTCTTCATGGCTGAGTAGTATACCATTTTATATCTATATCTATATCTATACCTAGATATAGATATAGATATAGATATAGATATTCACCCACATCTTTGTATTTTTATTCATTCCTTGGTTGATAGGCATTTGGGTTATGTTTTGAATATGTGGTATGATATTTTTAATTCTTCTGGGAAGATTCACAGAAGCTGGGTCAAATGGGACCTTCAGTTCTAGTTTTTGAGGAATCTCCACACTGGTTTTCATAGTAGTTGCAACAGTCTACACTCCACCAATAGTGGAGAAGCATTCCTTTTTCCTTGAAGCTTTTTTAACATTTATTATTGGTTGATTTCTTGATAATAGCCATTCTTTCTACAGTGAGGTGGAACCTGAGCATTGCTTTAATTTTCACCTCTTGAATGACTAATGATGTTGAACCTTTTTTTAAAAAAAATTTTTGGTACAATGTCTCACAACGCAGCTTGGGCTTATAGTGATCTTCTGGTTTTTAGCCTCCCCAGCACTGGGATTATAGGTGTGTGCCACCACATCCAGTCTCTTTGGCTGGCTCAGTGTGCTCTAGGGTGGGACCGGCGAGGCATGTGGTGGCAGGGACCAAACCCTGGTCCCTGAGCTTGCCTATGCAGACACTTAGTCAACTGAGCTATCTTGCTGGCCCGGTTGAAACTTTTTGATATATTTATTTGGTGTTTGTATCTCTTCCTCTGAGAAGGATGCATTCATTTCAAATGCCCATTTTTGGATTGTGTCTTTAAATTGGAGAGGGGTGTCTGTGTTTCTTAGTTCCTTATATGTTCTAGATGATCCTTGTCTGACAGACAAGGCTAAAATTTCTTCTCACTGTGTGTTGTCTTTTCACTCTGTTAATAATTTCTTTTCCTGTGCAAATCTTGTTAATAGGTTGAGATTCTAGTTGTTAGTTCTTTGTATTATTTCTCATGAAATCCTTGCCTATACCTATATCTTCAAGAGTTCTACCTATTCTCTTCTCCAGTAGATTTAGTGTTTCTTTTTTAAGAAATTGGTAGGTTCTCCCAATATTTAGTAGAGGACTAATATGCTTCTGAATACCATGAGGTGGCCTTACTGAGAGCTGTATTAAAAGCTGCCTTCCATGGATATTTAACTTTCTTTAAATTTTCAAAGAAGTTTGTGATTCAAAAAGATGAGAGTCTTTAATCTTGACTTTATACTAAATCATTCTGGATTTCCAGAAGTGTTTGCTTAGTTTATGATAATGGAATTTTGTTTCCTTCTTTCTAATTGAATTTAAACTGTTTCATTCAGTGGTATCTCCATTAGTTAGTACATCTTAAAGGTTAGTGGAAAGCTTAGTAAAGTTTCTTTTAGGTAAAGGTAAGCTTAACAATTGAAAAATAGCCTAAACTATTAGTGTGAAGCTGTCATGTAAAAAGGTAGGTTAGAATAATTTCAGTAATCATAGCGTCACTAGAAAAAAACTAGAAAAGTGAACTTAAAGGAAGAAAGGTTTATCTTGGCTCACAGTTTCAGGCATTTTAATCCTTGGTCCAGTATTACTTTGGACCTACAGCAAGGCAGAATGTTGTAGTGGTAGAACTATATGGTAGAGGAAGCAAAGAGAGAAAAGCAAGATGGGAAGGGGCTAGGGACAAGATATAGTCTGTAAGTGACTGCCCCCATTACCTACTCCAGTTAGCTAGACCCTACCTCCCAAGTTTCCATAGTCTCCCAATAAAACCATCACATTATTGATTCATCTATGGATTGATCCACTGATGAAGTTAGAGCTCATCTTATCCAGTCACCTTTTAAAAGTCCAACATTTGAATACACGAACCTTTTGAGGAACATTATCCATCTAAATCATAACACCACACAGTGCAAGTGGTCTAAACTTACACATGGGAGGTGTTAAGTGATCATGTAGTGAATAAATTGTTTTTCTCAAGAGAGTAGGTGGTAAGAATAAAGAAAGCTTTCAGAAAACTACCATTTGTGACCAAGATATGTGGTAGAGTACTAAAGAAAAATAAGAATCCTGCTGTGGCTATCTTTATATAAACCTTTATTTTTATATAAAACCTTTACTGTTTTTAACATATGTTAGAATGTTTGTAACTATACTGCTTTAGCCAATCCCTGTTCACCTTCAAACTCAGTAACTTGAGAGGGCTATAAAAAGGGACCTTGTTCTGGGGAGTCGACACCCCAAGTAAATACAGTTCAGATTTCTTTGCATAGTTAGTGTCAACTTTGGAGCTTCAAGCTAAAGCTCATGTTTACAAATTTCGTCTATTTTCCATTTTATAGAATTATTTTAATTTAATTTATTTATTTTATTTTTTTTTGATGGTACCATGGATCAAACTCAGGACCTTGCATTTGCCAAGCAAGCACTTACTCCACTGAGCTATCTCCCCTGCCCCAATAGAATTATTTTTAAAGTGGCTAATTTTACTGCACCATTTTGTATTATCTAACATGTTGAGCTTTTTGGAAAGCTTTGAGTTATTGGGTTATGTACTCTGAATATGCTCTAAAATGTCTTGGAGGTACTAAGCATCTTCTGAGGATTAGAAAATAATTTCTGTGGTAATTTTGATACTCAGCTGGATTTCTCTGATGGTTGAGGATCTGCTTCTTTGATTACTGTTGTTATAATTCAGAATCATTTCTACATCAAAGGGCTACTTGGGAGGCCCATTTAAAGTAAAGCATCTACTATGGATATAATGACATAGTCAGTTGAAATGTGAATAGTTTTTAATAAGTTCATAAGAATTTTAAAATAGTGTAGAATTAGATGATAATGAAAATAAGACCATTAATATTTACTATTTTAAATATATGGCTTAATCTTTTATTTCCCTTTTTTTTTTTTT